AGGCAGATGCTAAACCACTGAGCCACCCAGGGATCCCCTCTCCTCCATTCTAGAGAAGTGGAGACTAACCTAGAAAGGTTAAGATTCTTGGGGTTTTCTTATTTGGAAAGCAGTCGTGCTGGGATATGAACCCAGGGATCCATGTCCCCAGGTTTCACATTCATGCAACCACATTTTAGCTGCTCCTAAGCATCAGAAATCATGTTTAACTTCCTGTGAGGTCATTGTCTCCCACCTCAGTCCAATGTGTCTTGCTCTGTGAAGCTTTCCTAGGAAACACAATCCTTCCTCCAGGTAGAATTAAGTATGCATGTTACTGAGTTCCCAAAATACGTGGTGTTGACTGCACCAGACTGGGGGATCCTCATGGCCTACGGTCTGATTGCTGTTCAGTGCCCTGGAACAAGTAATTTTAAACACAGCGACCTGCTACCCTGGCAGTTATCACACACAGTGGTAACTTCCTTGTTTTTGATTCCTTTATTTGTGGCTACTTTATAATTTCTCTCTCAGAAAACCGTATTTGTTAAAACGAGCAGTTATCAGACACCCTTCCTTTTCTCTGAGCCACCTTATTTTCTGTGTGTGATGAGGAGACAAAAATGCTTTCCTGTAGTCCCATTAATGAGGGATTTTTACAAAATTCATAACATTCATAACACATTTATAACATCAACTTTGAACCGAATATTCTTTCAGTGCTTGTGTTGCTTTCGAGCCATGGGTTGTGTCTGAAATAAATTTAAATCCAAAATGATATGAGAATTGTCTTAAATTTGTTTCTGATCATCTCTGTGGCCCAAGGCTTGTTATTTTTGTTAAAAATGCAATCTATCGAACGCCAAGTTCCATCATCATTTTTGCAGTGTTTTGTGTTGCCATGCTGTGCCACGAGGGGGCAGTATCGCCCATCAATTCTTGTCCTGCGCTAAACCTTACAGAGTTTGGATGTGTGGGTTAACAGGGGACAGGAGGGGGAGTTTGCAGAATGGATTTTAGATGCTGGCAAATACAGCAAAACCCTGGAAACACTGCCCTGGGCTCTGGTCTAGTCTCTGACCTCTGTGACCTTGAGCCAGCCACTTCTCTTGCTAGGCTTCCTTGCATAAAATGAGGGAGTTGAACCAGATTAACTCAAACTCATCTCTGATTCTAATTTTGTGGGCATCCAAATTCCTTTAAAAGCAAATGAGAAGAAAGGTCTTTTGATGGCATTATGTGGAATTCTATTTTGCTTCTTTTCAACCAAGCTCATGTTTCTGGATGAACACGTTCAGTCACCTGTGCATAATTCTCTTTCTTTTCTTGGATGGTTTATTGTATTTCGTTATAAATTCATTCTTGCATATGGTATGCTTGTCACCTCAAAGAAAATTGGTTCACAGTCTGTGCTTGGTTCACATCTGAAGCAAAGAGAAATTCACTTTAACGTCCTTTATTCTCAGCATTAAGAAGCTAAGCCACACTATATTTGAACATTACAGCTATCCTTCTCTGAAAAGAAAATAGTTTCTTTTGGATTTGTGGTGAGTGCTAATGGCTCATCATAAACAAGCTATACTACTATATTATATATAAACACTTTGCCCCTAAATAAACTCTCATCCATTTTTGGAAATGAAAAAAAAAAATCCAAGCTTCAGGGAAGATAAGGTCTTGAAGTCTGACAGTTTCCAGATAATGTCAGAATACGATTGCAAGAAAAATGACATGAAATGTACATTAACATAAATCTATAACTGCTCAACTTGATGAAAAATATCACCATAAAATTCTGTCATTGCTGAACCACCCGATATGGTTTTTCCATGACATTTTGTGGGAATGAATAAATTATCTGAAAATGTGTTTGCATCAAAAATACAGAGTTTTGTAATAAACACATAAATCATTCAAGCATTCTCCAGCAAGATGCCTGATCCTAAAAATGGGAGTATTCATATTAATTTCGCCCCCTTGGAGCTTCCTTCTCTGTATGGTTCCTTAGAGCTCTGGGTGGTGATGGAGAACCATCGATTAGGGAAGTGTAGGAAGACAGGATGTAAAGAGAATGACTCTTACTGGAGAAGTTTTCCATGCAACCTCCTTGTACTCCCTACAAGCCTCAATTCTGGGAGCCCTGCTTTCACTGACACCCTGTATGCAGTCTACCCAGGCGCTCCTTTTCAAATACAGCCATGGTCCCCATAGGTCAGCCTACATTCCCTGTAAAATGGACAGTGCTGACAAAACTCTGAAAGATGTCTCTGTTGTGCTTGCTTAGGAACTAGTTTGCTTTTCTATTATGGGCAATTAATATCACATAAAGAAGCATGATTCCCTTTTTGCTTAGGCTACCAGAAAACTGAGAGGCAAGCCAATAATTTAATTTGTACCTGAGGATCCTGAATTTTATCTTTGCCTCGGTGTTATAATCTACCTAGATTTACCCTAGGATTTTATTTTTATTTTCTTCTATTTTACTATGTAAGTTTTTTGTTGACTAACCCCAATATCTTTGTGAGCTCAGGCAAAGTATAGGTAAATATATGCATGGATAGTTGTGATACAGTGATTTATAATAAATATATATTTGATCCTCGTCCCCAAGATTCTGGCACACGGCCTGTAAATCCCTTGGAATTTCCTAAGTGATGAGAACTATAAAGGCGTCTTCTCTTATGTTAAGGAGGTGACTTTTGGACTGCATCTGGGCATGGTTGTGGGGGCAATGGGGGAGCTCACCATGTGACTAGAGAGTTAGAACTTTTAGTACTTCCCACACTCACATTGAGGAGGGGAGAGAAGCTTGAGATTGAGTTCACTTACTAATGCCCAGTGATTTCATCACTTATGCTAATGTAATGAAGCCTCCATAAAACCTGAAAAGGTTGGGTTCTGAGACTTTTGGGTTGAAGATAGAAGAAGCATGGAAGTGCCACTCCCTTTCTCACATATCTCATTCTGTGCATCTCTTCCATCTGGCTTTTCCTGACTTATATCCTTTTATTATAAACTGTAATCTCATGAGTAAAACGTTGCTCTGAGTTCTGTGAGCCTCTCTAGCAAGTTATGGAACCTAAGAATGGGAGGTCAGTGGAACCTCCAATCTATAGCGTGTCTGTCAGAAGCACACGTGACAATCTTGGCTTGTGACTGGCATCTGAAGTGAGGGCAGCTTTGTGGGACGGAGCCCTCGACCTGTGGAATGTGATGCTGCCTCTTTGTAGATAGTATCAGAATTGGGTTGAGTTGTAGACACAGCTGTTGCCTGAGAACTGCTTGCGGGGGTGTGTGGGGGAATGCTCCCCCAACACACATGTTGGAATGGGGATCAGAAGCATCTTAATCGGCAAACAGACATGTTGATATGTAGAATAAAGGTCAAAGAAGCTTCTGCAATCAAAGAAGTGAATGGATGTGTATGGTGAACTATACAAAAGGAAGAAATTATGACATCCATTTCTTGTCTGCTCTCTCTCCAGGACTCATTTCTCAATGGGTGCCTGTGAAGGTTCTAGAATGATGTGGAACATTTGTGTGTCAAATGACTGCGGTCTGATCTGGGATCCCTCTGGGCTTCTGGTCCTTTCTGTGTCAAGAGATGTGAAAATACTTTGTCTACATAATTCACCTGGTTTCTAGGGACTAAAATATATCAGTTCATGGAGAAGAGCTCTGAGTCAAGTGCTGTTGGTACACTGAAGGTACTGACATTTTAAGGTGTAAAGAGGCACTGATTTGGAAGCTGTCCTATTTTTTTGGGGGGGGGAGTTTAGAAGTGGTATGGATGGAAGACATATGGGAGGTCTTTCAGGACTGAAAGGAGAAAGGATTTGAGAACAGCTAGATTTTCCTGCCTCTGTTAATGCTCCTAAATTGGATAGTCATAAAAGCCCTGCTCACTTCTCACTTTGCAGAGGAAGAAAGTAAGACCCAGAAAGGTTAGTTGCCTAACTTAAGGTCACACAGCCAGGGAGGGGCAGAGCCTGTGTTTGGGGTTACCCTGGTTGCAAATTCAGCCATTGGGAAGTCCCTGCAGGAATTCAGAGGAAGGTTGTAAAGGGAAGTTGGTGGACATGTGTTCCTTTGGCTTCCCTTCCACGAGGCTCAGTTGGATCTGGTGCTGTCTCTCTTCTCAAGGTGGTGTTCTTCTTCTGGTTTTCTAACTGTCCCTTCATCCTTCTGGGCTGAGGGGGTGGTGCCAGGGCCACTGCCCTTAGCGCCAGTTCCCATATTATCCCTACACCCCCAAAATCTCAGGAAATGGTTCCTTTGTAAAGAAACTTCCTTAAATCATCCTAATTCAGGGGTGCCATCTGTTTCCTGTTAGGACCCTAACTGTAACATCTCCTTATCAATGAAAATGTGATGTTAATGATATGTTCTAGAATATAGCATTAGACACAAAAGATGAATTTGATATGTTTCAAGTACTAGGAAGAGTAAATCATTGCCATCTTTTCCAGTTGGACATTGTGAGAGAAGATGGAGCATGGGGGAGATGATGAGAGGAGCTATAATGTGTATGATCCAATTAAATTTCTTTGGCTGTCCTCCATTTGTGCTTCCAGCACTACTGAAATTGATTATTTCCTTTCAGCTTCCTACCTGTATCTTCATCTCCAAATTGAGTTGCTTTGCCTAAAGCTTTAAAATCTGTTTTCATATGAATTAATCAACGTTTTAAAATTAGATTTCTATCTTGTGATTTTACTGGGGATATGCTTGGAGAAATAACTTAGTTATATATTTAATGCAACCCATATGTTTCAAAGCAATTCCTTTCTGAAATCGCACAACCATGGAATATGAAGTTTCACAATCAATTTCTTCATCAATAGGGTAAGGTGATAAAAAGGCATAAGATGTATGAGAATCTTTCCAAGAGTAGTTATTTAATAAAGGATAGCTCAATAGATTACTTTGTTTAGGATAACCCGTGACCACCGACAAAGTGCAGGAAGAACTTGGAAGTAAAGAAATATCCTTGCATATCAAACTTTTTGACCTGACTTTACCTTTAACATGTTGGTTTCTGGAATCCTTGGAAATGGATTCGTCCACCTGTGGAAGACAACATGACACCATTATCTCTACAGTTGTGACTCTGATACCATCGAATGTGTTGCCACTCTGTATAGTTAGACTCCCTAAGGTCAAAGCAAAAGTCCTTGGACTCATCCTTCTTAGAGAATCACCATATGCATATAGTCAATACATGAAAATAAGTGTAAATATGGGAATCATCATGCCATTTACCACTGTGGTGGCCTCAGATGGTATTTGGCATAAAAATACTTGTGTTTGAGATCCACTCCTGCCTCTTATTGTTGTGAAACTTTGGAAAGGCATGTGCCATATCATAAGCCTTAGAGTTTTAATCTTTTTTAATAGAGAAACTAGTCAGTTCAGATCCTTGAGTTATTATGAAGACCAATATACATGATCAAGTGATTCTTTTTTTTTTTAAGATTTTATTTATTTATTCATAGAGACACAGAGAGAATGAGAGGCAGAGATACAGACAGAGGGAGAAGCAGGCTCCATGCAGGGAGCCTGACGTGGGACTCGATCCAGGGTCTCCAGGATCACGCCCAGGGCTGCAGGCGGTGCTAAACCGCTGTGCCACCGGGGCTGCCCTGATCAAGTGATTCTTGACAGTGTTGGAGCAAGCAGATGAGAGAGTGGCCTCGTATGGGATGCCCATTTGGGATTTCATCTTCATCACGTGCCAGCTATGAGAATGTGGCAAGTCACTTACCCTTCTGAGCCTCTATTTCCTCATCTGTGAAATTAAGGTCACAAAAGTACTAATACATCATGAGGATGAGGTAATTGTATGAGATACACCATGCAAGGTGCCTAAAACAGGGAATGGCACCAATAAAGCTTAAGAGTTGTTGGTTTTCATTATTAATATTATTAAAGGCATTGGTGAACCATTAAGAGCTCTACCATTGCTAGACAAGAGGGTGAAGAAGAAAATCAAGATATCAGAATGATGCCCAGTGTTTTTGAAAGCTTCTAAGCCTAGTTCAGCAGTGGGGTCTATGTTGATTAATTTTATATGTCCATTTGACAGGGCCACAGAGTGCCCAGGTAATTGGATAAACATTATTTCTGGGTGTGTCTGTGAAGGTATTTCCAGATGAGATTGGCATTTGAGTCAGTAGACTGAGCAATGCAGATTGCACTCCCCAACGTGGGTGGGCATCAATTAATCCATTGGGACCTGAATAGAATACAAAGGCAGAGGAAAAAGAGAATTTTGTCTCTGTACCTGAGTGTTGAGCTGGGATATTGGTTTTCTCTTGTCCTAGACTCAGAATTACATCATTGGTTCTCTTGGTTCTCAGGACTTTAGACTCGGACTGGAATTTATATCCCTGGCTTTCCTGGAGCTTCAGCTTTCAGATGGCAGATCATGGGACTGAACCAACATAATCACTCTTTTCTTTCTTTCTTTCTTTCTTTCTTTCTTTCTTTCTTTCTTTCTATCTATCTATCTATCTATCATCTATCTATCTATCTACTTACCTAAGGCTACTAAGCCTTTGCCCATCTTTCCATTTATTGAGCACTTGGTGTGTACCCAGCACTGTGCTCAACAATGGGGATGAAAAATGAGCCAGTGCCCACAGTCTAATGGAAGAGGCAATGGCCCAAACTGGCAGTTCCAATGTGATGTGAAGTCCTAAGACAGAGGTGAGCATGGGTCACAGAAGCTGCATCACTTAGCCCAGCTAGAGGCTTTTAAGACTTCTGGAGGAAGCAGTGCAAAGCAGACTGTCTATCTATCTATCTTATCTCATCTCCTGTGTTTCTAGAGAACCCTGACTAATACAGGTCATTAGTGTTACTCTTCATTGGCATCAAGTTGAGGTAGCAAAGGTGGATGAATCCCCTGTTACTTCTTACCGTGTGATGTTCAATGTCTACCTCTTTTCCTCTATGCACACTGACCCACAGTATATGCCTGGAATATGTGTGGCTCTTTGGCTGGTCCATTAATCTAGTAAGAGTTGAGTGTCATTTGGATTTTGTGATTGCTATGGCCTCCTTTACAGCATCCAGTTCCTTCATTGCTTGTGGGAGCTGGGGTGCTGGATGGGTTTTTTTTTTTTTTTTTGGCATTCTCTTGCTTCCTCTGTGTGCTTGTCTTACAGATGGAGTCTCTCAATGCTTAGGCCCACCTCCCATTGCTAGCCTGGTTATAGGAGCAGGAGAGGTCCTCTGTTGTCTCTTATGTGGGTCCTGTATGCTTAGGATCTTAGGGATGGGGCTTCCGTTTTGGTAGCCAAGTTAATTTGGTGTCATCGGACATTTGGATCCATTTGGCTCTTTTGTGTGTGAGAGCTTCTTTGTCTTGCACCTTCCCCAGAAGTTTGATGCCCTCTGATGGTGTTAGTATAGGATCCCAGGGCTGGGAATATTTCCTGCCCCTCCAAGGTGCTGCTCCCATTTTCTGTCAGATAAATATTTATTAGAGTCCACCATAAGCCTGCATCAATGTTAGATTATGATGAAAAAGAGGAATAAGAGCTTGGATACTAAAGGACTCAGATATGTACACAGGTCTGAGCTCACAACATATTATAACACATCATAGCACAGGTTTAATTATAACACAGATTTCTCAACCTCAGCACCATTGAGAGTTGGAGCTGGATAATTCCTTTCAGTGGCGGCTGCCCTGAGCATGGTAGTAATCTTAGTAGCATCCCTGTCCTCCACCATTAGATGTCAGTAGCACTCTCCTATGGTCCTGACAACCAGCCTGTCCCTAGATATTGCTAGCCATCCCCTAGGGGGCAGAATGGTCCCTGATGAGAATTACTGAGGACCATGCAATGGTGTCACAGTCTGCTTTGCACTGCTTCCTCCAGAAGTCTTAAAAGCCTCTAGCTGGGCTAAGTGATGCAGCTTCTGTGAACCATGCTCACCTCTGTCTTAGGACTTCACATCACATTGGAACTGCCAGTTTGGGCCATTGCCTCTTCCATTAGACTGTGGGCACTGGCTCATTTTTCATCCCCATTGTTGAGCACAGTGCTGGGTACACACCAAGTGCTCAATAAATGGAAAGATGGGCAAAGGCTTAGTGGTTTAATACAGTTGTAACCAACCTAAGGAGTCTAGGTAGGAACTGGCCTCTATTAGGATTATTGAAGATCCTTTTCACAGATAGTTTAATCTCACCACAAATGTGCAGAATGCAGAACTAGTAAGAATGAACTCCTGGGAATGAGGCTGTAAATGGAGAATGTAATCTGCTTCTCATAAAAATGTGATTATTCAAACATTGATTAAGAGTAAACTCCTTATCTGAATTGAGGTCAAGTCCTTCTTAATTTATAAGCCAGCTTCCCCACCCTCCTCCCTGGCCAAAGTTGTGCTGAGTCTGCTGTATGCTTTTTCTCACATGATTTCACTTGACTTGATATGCTGAGATTATAGTTCCACTTGCAAAGTGATCTAGCTAAAGGAAGAAATCTGTATTGTAACAGAAAGCTACAAAGATATTATGAAGGAAATATAAAGTAATAAGGATGGAGGCTTCAGTTCTGGCATAGTTATTTTAAAAACTCAAATGAGGGGCCCCCGGGTGGCTCAGTGGTTGAGTGTCTGCCTTTGGCTCAGGGCGTGATCCCAGGGTCCTGGGATTGAGTCCTACATTGGACTCCCCATAAGCAGCCTACTCTTCCCTCTGCCTATGTCTCTGCCTCTCTCCATGTGTCTTTCATAAATAAATAACATCTTTAAAAAAAAAAACCTCAAACAAGAATTTTTCTTAAAAAAATTCTCACAGTGAGAAGACTGAATCAGTGATTACTGGGGGAAAGGGAAGCTCAGGTTTTTAGGTGAACATTCTCTATTCTTTCATAGCCAGACCAGAACTTGTATCTTTAGCCACTGGTCCAGTCATTCTGAAATTCTGAACATGCTTTATGCTCCAGTGTTGAGTGCCCTGAAGCGTCCTCCTCCCTGTCAAACAGGGGCTGCCCCGTGGGGCTGCCCCAGTGGCAGATCTTGCTGACAGTAGCAAATATTCACCTGAGAACTTTGAAGACCAGGTTGAAAAAGGGTTCCATGGGAACAGAAGTCAGTCAAACCTGGATCTCTTTTCCTATTAAAATAGTTACTCACATTTCAAAATTTAGCTCAAATGATGGAAAGTTTGTTCATTTTCCTCCATTTAACCAATATCTCTTGAGTTCCTCTTATATAAAGTTACTACGCTAGGGGCTGGGACCTCTCCTCAAGGACAGGTCATCTATTGACTGCATGCTGTATGTATTATCATAATAGTGATGCGATTTTACAGTTAAGATCATAAAGGCTCAGAGAGGGTAAGTAACTGACTCAAAGAGTTCATAAAAGTTGGAGCTGTTAAAATGAGGATTATAATGTTCATCTTTTAAGGGTATTTTAAGGATTAGATGTCATTCATTAATTCATTCATTCCCATTTCTACTCAGGAAGACCTTCCTTGACTACCCTTATCATGTTTTAATCATTTTTTTTCCCACTTAACATATTGTCTGTTATTTATTTGTTTACTTATTTCCAGTCTCCTCCCACCAGTATGTGAGTTTTATGAGCACAGGGCCTTGGTTATTTACCAATGCACGTGGGTTCTTATTGTGTCTGGTCCATGGCAGACACTCAACACATATTTCTTGAATGAATTTGTTGAATGAATGATTAAAGTTTAGCTTGGTGCCTGTGTAAAGCAGAAGTGTTCAATATTTCATCCCCCATCCTGCTCTCCCAAACTCTCCTGGATGTGTTCTGGGTAAATGACATTGCTTATTTGTAGTTTCCTTTGCTTATTAATATTAACAGAAGCCCTCAAGTTAAATAGATAGACAATGTGAACAAATAATGCACAGGAAGAATGTGATATAAATATTTAAAAACATGTTCATACTCACTAATAAATATGGTACAAATTTAAAAAAAAAGGAACAGTGAAATCCCTTTAAAATTACAATTAATACAGTAATAGCCAGTTTTGGTGAGAGTTCTGTGAGGTGCACATTATCATACAGGACTTCTGGGAGGGTAAATTGAAGCAATTTTTCAGGAAAGAAATTTCACAATAGGTACCAAAGCTTTTAAAATATTTTCACTCAATGGTTGAGTAAAATAATTAAAAATCCCATAATGGGGTCTGATATATCTATAAATATTATGCTATTAATGCTTGTTTGTCACATGGGAAATCATTTTATAACCAGAACTTGACAGAAAAAGAAAAAAAAACAGGCATGTACTACAGTGGGACTCTTTGAATAAAATCTATCTGCATAGAGAATATGGACACAAAATGGAACATAGTGTTGTGACTGGTAACCCTAAAACTCCAGGGGTGATTCATTTGTATTTCATGCATTTCTGCATTAAGGAAAAGAAGCATTAGCAAAAGTTATTTAAAAATGAAATTTAATATATTTATATATTTTAAGTATATGTTATATTTATTTTATATGTTTATATATAATATACACACATATATTCATATATATATTTGTATTTACAGGATATTTTCTTGATTTCTTGTTGGTAGTGTCCAAACAGCCTTTTGAAGTACAGCACGGTAGGGATTTTTTTCCTGTTTTATGGACGAGGTTACAGAGGGGCTCAGAGAGGTTGTTTGACTTACTTCTTACCACGCAGTTACCAACTACCAGCATTGGGCCTACAGTCTGGGCAAAATAATATGTTATTATCAACAAGATCTGAGTTCAAAGTCTGCTTCTGGAAAAGGAGACAAGCATCAAGTGCACTGTCTGTGAAGAATCCCCACCCTGAGGCCCCACAAAAAAACCTTCACAAATGCTAATTCTCCTCCCTTCTCTGTGCTCATTCACCAGGACCATGATGTTAGCAGTCAGATGAGCTGGTTCCTTAGCACCTCACTGAGCTCATCTTGCTCATCACCTAACAAGATGCCTTGGGAATGAGAGATGGGGAAGCTCCAAGCTGCTAGGAATTGCCCTGCCCATGTTTGGTTCACACAGCCAAATCTGTACTCACTTTTCCTAGCCCCATCTGTGTGTGCCAGTGATGATGCTCCATGGGGACAGAGGTCTTGGTGTCTAAGGAAAGGGGAGTGTCCATCGCACTCTTGAAATAACGTGTATCTGTGAAAAGAGAAAAATTCAAAGTCATACTTTAGCTGGACTCAGCATGTTACAATTTACAAACTATGTGCCCATCTAAAAACTCACTGAATCGTCACAACATAGGTATGAGGCAAGCAGGTGTACTTCCACTGGACAGATTAGGAGATTAGAGCCCAAGGGGGAGGACATGTATTCCTTCCAGTCCACACGTGTGCACACCAGAGTCTGCACTTGAGCATCCTTCAGTCTCTCAGCCCCTGGGAACTCCTGTTCATCCTTCCAGCCCTGTGCTCTGTCATGCCCTTTGCAGATCTTCCAAGGTCCCACCCACCACCATCCACTGCTGGTTCTCCTTTCTATGTTATACACCTATTATAGTCTATCCTATTTATCTGGTGATCCTTCTGCATCTGCCACTGGATTGTGACCTTCCTGAGAATGTGGATCATGCTTTGTTTATCTTTGTGTCACTCGGTCAATCCTTTTTTTTTTTTTTTCACTCGGTCAATCCTAACACGGCAAATGCACACAGCAGATACTCAGTCATTGCTTACTGAGTGAATGAACAAAGGAGTTTCATCATTATTTACAAGGTGATTCTTTCCAAAGGGACCTCTGTAGACTCATCTCAGTGGGTCAGGCCCTCAGAAATCACAAGTGCTTCCTCTTCTTTTCCCTTACAGCCCTGTCCTATATTTACAATTCAGAGAACTTGCCTGTGTGCCCCAGTTGGAAAGAGGCAAGGGTGGATGTGAAATTATGTCTTTTTTACTCTTAAGAAGCTTGGCTTTGCTGCCATGCCCTCGTGCTACCTATATGCTGGCTCCCTGGAAAACAAGTGAGCCAAGTTGAAAATTCTTCCCTTTTATGCTGCTCTCCATTATGCAAACTCTGTCTTAATTTTCCCATGCTAGAGGTATCTGGGTGGCTCATTGGTTGAGCGTCTGCCTTTGGCTCAGGTCCTGATCCTGGGGTCCTGGAATGGAGTCCCACATCAGGCTCCCTACAGGGAGCTTCTCTCTCAGCCTATGTCTCTGCCTCTCTCTGTGTGTCTCATGAATAAATAAATACAATCTTTAAAAAAAATCTTCCATGCTGCCCACGGTCCTGCCCATCCACCCTCTCCCATGCTCACCACTTGTTCCTAAGACTCAGGAAGAAAATCATGATAATAACAACCAGTAGTTACAGAGCTCTGACTCTGTGCCAGGTCCCCTGGTGAGAACTCAAAAGAACTCTCAGAGGGTAAGTTCCTTTATTATGAACACCATTTTCAGGTAGAGAAAATGAATTTTTTAGGCTTGATCAAGGCTGCACAGCTAGTAAGCCATGGAGGCTAGGATTTTAGTCTGGAGTTGCTTAATTTGGAATCTGCGGCTTTAATTACTGTGCAGTATTGCATCGTGGATGTGCATTCTTAGATTTTTAGGTCCCAGATGTTACCTGCATATTCCGATTCCTTTATAGGTCTGGCTGGTAAAATTTTTATTGGTTGCCATGCCTCTACCATGTGAAGCTCGGGGTCTTCATAGTCGTCATCGTTCTGGTCTTTATCTCTACCCAGGACTGCCGCAGCAGAGTTCCTTTCCTAAATGGGAGGGAACATTTGAGGGAGTCAAGGGAAGATACAGTTATAACCAAGATGATGGGCTACAGTGCTAGCAAGGGGAGTGGTATAGATTCTTTTAGCCAGAAACATTTAAGAATCTGGGGTCTGGGCAGTTAAATTCTTGTGGTAAGCAGAATCGTAAAGATGTCCTCATATACTCCCATTCTTGGTTATTCAATCAAATAATAATCTGAATCCTGCTGTGAAGGGACATTGAGGATGTACTTAAGATTACTAATTAGCTGTCCTTAAAATAAGGAGATTGTTCTGGATCACCTGAGTGGCCCAGTGTAATCACATCAGCCTTTCAAAGCAGAAAAGAGATTTGCAGATGATGTGATCTTGTCCTACATACGTAGGACATTCCAAGGAGCCCACTAAAAAAGTTATTAGAACTGATAAAAAATTCAGCAAGGTGGCAGGATACATGATCAAAACACAAATTTCAGTTGTATGTCTATATACCAGTAATGAGCTCCAAGTCTGAACACTGGGGATGGCAGGATTTGGTACCACTCAGCAAAAGACCTAATCATCTTCATGGAAATTCTGGAATCTATACCTATGTATTGGGATCTGGATTCAGCATTGTGCTGTGTTTCAGCCCCGATACTAATCTCAATAGTCCTTCATATAGAAGGATCCCTTATCTCTCTTAAAGTTTCCACTAAGACTCCAAATGGCCATGGCTATGAATAACAGACCCAGTTGTAAGAAATCTTCATGCACATCCTCCACTTTGGCCCTCAGAATTAAGAACTTAGATCTTTCTTTTACAAATATAGAAATTGGGAATGGTGGAATCTGAAAGCCACACAGTCATAGGTGCCATCGATGGGCAGAACCAGGTCTTCTATCACATTCACACTAAAATCCAGCACCCAGTATTAAAGTTGTTCTGAGCCTAAGACGAAGGGTGAATAATCTAGGGCATTCCTTGTGTTGCAATATCCATAATTTTGACTTCTAACCAGAGAGTGCAGTGGCAAACAGCGTGAGCCTGGGCTCAGATCCTGAGTTTTTAAGTTCCTTTGTTATTCTGCAGAGAGCATTTCACTTCTTTCCAGCCAATCCTGGTCACACTACATGAATTGGACAGCACACTAACTCTTTCTTTGGACTTTCAATTATTTTATAGTCAAAGACTGAAAACTTAAGAGTCAAAGTTACTGCATTATGGCCTTAACTATTTCTATCCGTTTTTTGCACATAGTAGATTCTTAATATATGTTTGTTAAGTAAGCAAAAATACATAAAATAATAGATTTTAACTCGATTTAGGATGTCATTATGATATGATTTAAAGTTTTTCATTTATATTATAATTTCTCTGGTTACAGAGATATATTTATCAAAGGCCGCTTCAAATTTATTTTTGGAATAGATGATACACACACACACTAATATAATCTCTTAGAGTTATAGAGTGACTTTGGCAACCAGAAGTTAAATGAGACAATGCATGTAAAATTTTGAGGAAAATGCCTGATGGTCAGTACTTAATAAATAGTAGCTATAAATACTACCATGGCTGCTACTGTACTAATGACAATTGAAGAAAATCAGAGGTAAAGCAAGGCCACCAATCCTCCTCTTAAAGCCTCTCTAACATTTGTTAGGGACTTTATATGTGCTAGATGCTTTATGTACTTTATTTCATTGTATAAACACAATAATCTAGGAGGTGGTTTTATTATAGTGGAAAGATTTGGTATTCGGGGCTTGTGTTTAAATGCCAGGTCTGCATGATTCCCGTGTATGTGGACAAGTTGCTTACCACCCCCAAGTGTCCAGGTGTATGACTTTTTCCATCATTGCTCTGTCAAAGCAGTTTTGGTACAGGTAAAGACAATGTCCATGATGGGCCTGATTTCGAGGCAAACAATGCCCCTGTCTGGAAGACCTTTTAGGCTTTACCTGGGCTCCAAGTAACCTGCTTATATGATGCGAGAGTGCAGAATGCAATTTAGTAAGTTAGTGTTCTCCATGGGAGTGTTCTCCATGAAGGAGGTGGGCTCCCTGAAGACTAAAGTATGGCTTTGAGTGTGCTGCCCTTGATTCCTATCTTAAAGGAAAGGGAGACTCAAGTCTTATAAGAGCTGAGGGCTCAGGCAAGTTATAAAGTTATAAAATTCAAGGGGCTCAGGTGTAAGAGAACAGGGACCAGGACAGGAGCAGGAAGAGGATGGAAAGGGTGAGTGTGGTGACCCAAAGGAGAGAGGTGAGGTCACTGAACACAAAGTTGGAGTGGGACCATTGGCATGGTTGCATGGATGCTGTGCCCCTAACAACCAGGCATTATAGATATGAAGCCCCACCTTTTTGGTCTGATCTCGGGAGGCAAGCAGGACTCGGACTGGGAGTTCTTGGTTGGGAAACCAGGTAGGGCCAGTCTGCTTGGGGGCAGCATGGATCCAGGATGGAATCACCCACTCCTAGATCTAAACTGTGGGTCCACTGTATGACCTGGGGGACATTACATAACCCCCTTGACTCACTTGCTCAGTCTGTAAATTGGAGAGGGCTAAATCTACTTTATTTGGTTGTAGTTGGAGATTAATGAAGTAAAAGGTACATAAATATTCTATGTTGACACCTTCCCATGATAGGAACTCAGGACATGATAGATCCCCTCCTCTCTAGTGGATGAGTTTCAGTAAAGCTGAGTGCCCAGGGCACAGTGAAGCTTCCAGGAGGGGAACTGCAGGGATTTTCACAATTGACTTGGCAAAGGGGGGAAGGTGGCTGGGCTCTTCTTCCCCAGAACTGCATACAGAAATGAGTTTTGACTTGGAGTAACTCCTTTCAGGATTTGACAGATAGACATTTGTTGCAAGGGCACCATTGACATACTGTTCTGGCAATCACCAAGACTGCAGAGTATAATATCTTTGGGGAATCTTGGACCTGCTGGAAGAATCTGAGACAGAGTTAATCTTTAGCCTAATCACCTCGTTAGAATTTGTGGAGTCAGGGCACAGAGGGATACCCTGAGGGATGGCAACCACCACCCCAAGTCTGTAGAGAATCTACATCAGACCCTGAGAACCTTGCCTCCAGGACCAACTATAAATATTTTGGTTTATCTCTTTCCAGAATGAGAGAGAGACAGAATTTTCTTTTAAATATAATGAATTACATTTATTTATCTAATTATCTATTACCTATCTACTGTCGATAGCAGGGGTTCTTAACTAAAAACTCAGTATTTTCTGTCCATAAACCTCCTACTTTATAAAATATTTTGTGATTTTGTGTGTGTGTCCTGAGGTAAGGATCCATAGCTTTATTTTTTTATTTTATTTTATTTTATTTTATTTTATTTTATTTTATTTTATTTTATTTTATTTTATTTTTGCTTTATTTTGTTTCTTAAAGAAGTCTTTCAAAGAGTAAAGAATCAATGATTTTAAAAGCAGATTCTCTTTCTCCCTCTCTTCTATCTGCCTATTTCATATATCATCTATAGATATGCTAATTAAAACTATTTAAATTATGTACAGTTTAACAGTAAACTTGGGGATCCCTGGGTGGCGCAGCGGTTTGGCGCCTGCCTTTGGCCCAGGGCGCGATCCTGGAGACCCGGGATCGAATCCCACATCAGGCTCCCGGTGCATGGAGCCTGCTTCTCCCTCTGCCTGTGTCTCTGCCTCTCTCTCTCTCTCTGTGACTATCCTAAGTAAATAAAAATCATAAAAAAAATACTTTAACAGTAAACTTGTTTATAACATTAGGGGGCTGACTTTGTGTTACAAATTTCAAATTTTCTTTAGTCCTTAAAATTCTTGTAAGTATTCTTAACAGCTTCATCATATGACTATGTCAATCTATTCAATGCTTTTTTTTCTATCATTGAAAATTTGGAATGGTTCCAGGGTTTCTGTTTAAATATATTACTATAAAATATAAATGAGTTTTTTTTTTACATACTAGCCCAAGTTTTAGACTAGTTTCTTAGTTTAAATTCCCAACCATAGAATTATTGGGCCAAAGAAAGTAGACATTTTTATGTTGATTGGTTATTATGAAATGGCTTTCCAGAAAGTTAGTTCCATTTTAAGATTTCACCATGAGCCTTAGGAAGTGCTTTTCTTGTCACTCCCTTGCCAGCACCATGTGGTGGTATTTTCATCTTATTTAATCTTCGCAGTGGCCATGTGAGTTAATTTTTATCTGCATTCCATAGCTGAGAAATTGGAAGACAGTTTTTTTTGCCTCTCTATTAATGCCTTGTTATCTACTTATTTATTTTTCCCAGTTTAACTGAGACATAATTGACCTACATCACTATGTAAGTTTAAGTACAGTGTGATGGTTTGATTTTCAATGTATATTATGGGAATACAGTTTATACCCAAGAACTGACATGCAAGTTTCTCTGCTAGGAAATCATGCCATTTGGAAAAACTTGTTATTGTTTCTTGAAATTCGCCAAATGCCTTGAAAAGAGCCACCACTCACTTTGTAAATATCAAAGACTGACAGGTAAGGAGGAGAAGTGGCTGACTTACACAGTGGAGAAGAGGCTCATCAATAGTCCGGTACTGGCCTGCCAACAGAAGTAGATCAAAGCGTTACTGCAAAACACTGAGAAGAGTGAGGGTGCCTGGGTGGCACAGTGGGCTAGGTGACCAACTCTTGGTCTCGGCTGTGGTCATGATCTTGGGGTGGCAGGATCGAGCCCTGTGTAGAGTCCTGTGCTCTGCACAGAGTCTGCTTGGGATTCTCTCTCTCCCCCTGCCCCTCTGGCTCTTACACTCTCTCTAAAATAAATAAATCTTTAAAAAACAAACAAGCAAACAAACATTGAAAAGAGTGGCCCTTGCATTTCTTTGGAAATTTTGTGCTAATTTCCATTCGTTTCTCTTGACAGCGATTGCCTAAAATGCAGCCTGTATATCCATACTTCTGGTTCTAGCTGCTGCTCTTGCAAAGCATGGGCGATGGAGAAGGGGGCTAGACAATCAAATCCAAACTAGGAAGGCTCACTTCTTCTATGGCAGGTCAGCATCCGGTCACAAGGACGCCCGGGCTCCACCCATCAGATGTGCCCAGTCATGACTCTGCGGTGTCCGGGCCCCCTCCCCATCCCTCTGGCACACACGTTGCATTTGCTGTAATCTGACATAGCTTCATCTCCTTGAACAGACTGGAAGTATTTTGAGGGCAGGGGACAGGTCTACTCACTCATCTGTCCTTAGCTCCAGGCATAGGGCCCAACACTGAACAAACGAGTTCTTGACGGGTGTTTGTTGAGTAAGTACTGCTCATGTGAAGTTTCTCAGTGCTCATCCCCCTCGCTTGGACTTGTTTTATGAAAGATTGCCTGGGGGTCATCTAGTGCACTCAGTCAGTGCTCTGCTTTAAACTTTACCCTCAGATGATGCAAAGCCATCAAAGAACTGCTCACATGATCTGCAGGGTGTTTTGCTTCCTCTAGACTTAATTTTCCTAAATTGCATTATAGTTTCATGCTGTTAGTTTGCATTGAGGAACACTATAAGCAGAAAATGTTCTTATCACACCCTCTTTATTAGCACATATGTGAGAAGTTCCTAGCGGGTCTTGGGAGCTGCATGCTTCTCAGGGATTGGTTTGCTTTGATTTAATGGAAAATACCGATTTTATAAGAGATCATATTTCCCTTCCTCCTTTGGTTGTTAAGAATCTCAGGGCAGATTTCTGGCCTGTGTCCAAGTCACGTAGAGGACCACAGTATCATGTGTATTTTTACATCTTGCTCTGGCTTCATCATGTTCGTAGACTTTTGCCCTTCCACACCGAATTCTCTTACCATACCAAAATATACAATTAATAGCTGGGAATTTGTGTCAGCATGCCCAAGCCTTGTGTAGAGTATAATGTGTAAATTAATGAAAGTTTGGCTCAGCAGAAACACAGCTCTCTGGAATTTGCTTAGGACCAGTGCATCAGGGAAGTGTTAACTAGCCAAAGCTAATCTCCTTGAGATAATGAGCAGGAGTCTGACTGCACCTGCTTCCTGGTCCCAGCCCATCCCGATGGTGAGCCTTGCAGCCACCACTGTCCTGGAGGCAATGATGACACCTTCCTGTCCCAGCCAATTATACCCCTGCTGAGAGCCCTGGTGGAGAAACCCACAGGTTTTCCAGCCTTTCACAGTAGCAATCTCTACTCTCTCATGAATTGAGTTAAATTAATGAGGTCACCCATAATGATCAGCTAGGCTGGAAGGAGCAAATGAGCACCGAAATTTTGGGGATCTGTTCTGGCCCATAGGATCTAGGAAAGCAGCTCTGCTGTCTGATTCAGAGTTTGAGACAACTTTATTTTAGGAAATTGGCCTCATCAAATGTTTTCATTATACTGACATCTCCACAGAGAGCCTGGGGTCTCTTCCTTCATGAACTTGTAGCCTGAGACTCTCCTGGATCCCCCAAATATGTTTCATGCCACTTCTGAATGTTTGCTTGTGTTGATTCCACCTGGAGTCCCCACTTCCTCTGTTTTGCCTTCCATAATGCTCGGTGCCCTTTGAGATCCTCTTGGGGTTTCCCTCTCTGAACACTCTAGGTGACTTGAATGTAATGGAATTGTCAGGACACTTAACTTTCTGTCTCATTGTGACACTTACATAAAAATAGGCAGCATTCGATTACATCTTTGATGGGTATGTACTTGACCCTTTTTAAAAAAGATTTTATGTATTTAGAGAGAGAGAGAGAGCACATGAGCAGGGGGAGGGGCAGTGGTGGAGAGAGAGAGACAGAGAATCTCAAGCAGACTGTGCTGAACGTAGAGCCTGACACAGGACTTGATCTCATGACCCCAAGATCATTACCTGAGCCCAGATTAAGAGTTGGATGCTTAACCGACTGAGCCAACCAGGTGCCCTTAGGGAAGGAGTTGTATTTATCTGCTGCAGTACATATGTTACTAATAACGCAGTTTGAAATGTAATTTTAAAAGCAGTTTTAAAACTGTAAATCAGTTCATGTCACTCATGGCCCTTGGAATGCCCCATGGAATCCAGATTCTTTGCCATGGCCCTCAGCATAGCCTGGTTCCTGCCCCCTTTCTGATCTCATCTCTTTCCAGTTCCTTCCTCACCTCTGAAATTAGCTACATGAGCTTCTTTCCAAGTGTCTCCAGTACACCCAGCTCCTTCTGCCTCTGAGATCTGCACCTACTGTGCTGCAGTCCAGAACATTCTTTCCTCAATGCTGCCTATGTCTGGGTTCTTTTCATCAATTGGATCATATCTTAAATGTCATCTTCCCTGGGGTGGGGGTGGGGGACCCTCCCTGACCATCAATATTAGGTAAAAATGAAGGAGTACCTCTCCAGCCCTGCTCCTCACTAACTCAAGCTTCTTGAGTGGCTTTGAGGATGCTGTGAGGATGCTCACCTAGCTCCATTTAGTCTTCCTGTGGGTTCGTGGCCAGCACACATTTCCCAGTGTCTCTTACATGGGGTGGCCATGACATGATGCTATGGCCACTGGGACAAAGTGTGTGCATGTGCATCATTCCAGGATGACTTCCTTGACCCTCTCCTTCTCTTGACCCTCCCGATGCTCATCTTGCCTCTGTGGCTGGCTAGAGATGGAAGACCCTGAGGTCTTCAATAATAATGGAAGCCACTGGTGAAAGGAGAATGAATCTCAAATGAGTGTATGGGGAGATAACTTCCTTCAATCCACATTTGGACTGTGATGTGAACAAGAAATAAATCTTTATTTTTATTAAACCACTAACATTTGTACTTTTATGCATTATAGATGTTAGCCCTTCCTGATTAAAACACTGTTTGGTTTCTGCATAGCATGTAGGAACAAAGCAAGCCAATAAATATGTTCTATAGTTACAGACCCGGTGCCTGCCTCCCCTAAGGCAGTGCTGAGATTTCAGGCCCTCGATCACTCCTGTAACTCAGGATATGGCAAGAGCACCGTGAATGCATAGCCAGCTGTGGAATAGAGTGTGGAAACACTCCAGAATTGAGAACCAGTGACAGAACCACCAGTAGAACCCGATCTCCTCCCTGGCTGAGTAAGCTTGAGTTTGACACCCTCTCCTGCAGGCCCCGGACCCACACCATAGAGGCCCCACAAATCCTTCCAGGTCTTTGAATCTTCCTGGGGCTGAAGGATAGGCTGGCTCCCCAGAGAGAGCCATTTTCCAAAAAGATGAAGGAAGTTTACCCAGCATCTTTTCACATCATTGTCCTGGAAGAGTTATGCTCATGTGTCTGCAGAGGGTCGTTCATCACCCACTGACACCAAACAGCTCCAGAGAACAACAGATTCCTGCATTCCTCACAAGAAAACAACATCTTTTTACAAAAGACAACATTCCCTTGAAAGTTATTTTTAGAAGGGAAGTGAAGATGAATATGTGTTGTGTAAGGCTCCAAACCTTTCCTGATTCGCAGAGGCAATTACCCCAGCCTTTGCCTATCAGCTTGCACACCTCTTCTCACGACTACAGAGTTATGATAAAGGCCTATGGCCAGTGGCCATCAAGTTAAGGTCCCCGGACCATTTTCATCTTGGGTGCTTCTCAAAAAAAAAAAAAAAAAAAAAAAAAAAAAAAAGGAAAGAAAGCAAAACCTGCCCCCTCCCCCTCCAGTGCAAACCAGTTCCTTTCTGCACAAGCTTCTATGGTGACACCCATCACACTGATGTCTGCGGACCACTGACGTAGAAGCTCCAACTCCCTTCTGATGGGAGATGGGCCGTGTAAGTCAGATAAAATTAGAGAGAAGTTCTAACTATCTGCACTTGTCAACACCTCCTTGAGTGGAAGCCCCTGGAAGCATGAGGCTGGTGCATTTTAGGGCCTTTACTCGGACAGCGCTGTTGGCTGTGCCCCTAAGGCCTGGCTCCATGGGATGGTTGCATCAAAGGAAATCACTGGCTGACCCAATTCCCAGCAGGTCCCATCAAGAGAATCTGTCCCTCTGGTGAGAGAAGGGAAGTGAAGGTAGGGAGCCTGCAGTGCTCTAGTGCTTTCTGTTCTCTGGGAAGTGGAATCCTCGGGCTTTTCAGATGATGGCATTCCCAAACCAGCCAGGTTCCCCAAGCAGACACAGCTTCTGTTTTCATTGCAGTCATAAGATTTCGGAGGGCAGGGGAGGCGGAGAGAGGTACGGCGAAGGTGAGTGTTGGCTCCGACTCCAGAGGCTGCCAGCTGGGTGGGCCTGCTCCCAAATATGTGGTGAAGAGGGAGAGGCCAGCTGGTCCCAAGGACCCGTCACTAAGAATCCGTAGCAGAGACGGCTGTGTGTCTCCCCATGTCCGCTTTCCTCCGTCTGTCCTGGAGGCCCTGATGGCCAGCTGGGCACATGGGCACCTACAGCAAGGACTTGCTACACACCCCGGTCTTCCTCGCAGTCATGTGTGCCCGTGAGTCTAATTTTTGGTAAATGGAAGAGATGGAAAATCAACTCACAGTCTGCAGGAAGCTCTCTGAAGAGAAAGTGTTGTGCACTGTTGATTTCTTCTTTTTCTTCCCTTCCTCCCTCCAGCTGCCCGGAGCACAGCTATCATTATTTTAGGCAATGGGATTGAGGCCAATACAAGGGAGGGAGCAGGATCTCCGAGGACCTGGAGGAGCAGAGCTGCCAAGCAGCCTTGGACTGCTTACCTCTGGACTTGACTTACACGGGAGAAAATACACAGGTCACATGCAAGCCCCCGTGATTTCTTTCTGAACATGTCTTCAGCCTTTACTGTTTCATCTCCTTGTGGAGATCAGCTATGGAATTCACCAAAGATGTAGCAGAGCCTCTAATGAAAGGCATGAACGCCTATTTCATGGAAGCCAAATGAGAAGTCAGAAGTTCTAGGTTCAAACCCTGGCCGCGCCGGTGTCTGGCCACATGCACTCAGGCAGGCCTGTGAAGCCATCGGTTAACTAATATTAGCTTGTAGAATGAGAAGAGGAGTGTCTGCCCCAAACAGCAGTTGAGAAGGTTAAAAAAATACCCCTCTGGCGGCATGTCCCCCCCCGGCCCCCCCATGAACAGCTGTGTTTCATGTTTCAAGTTCAACTTCATGACCAAATCTTTTCCACTCAATCCACATTATGAGTACTCTGCTGTCAGATTTATGTTAGGAGCTTGTTCATTCCTGAGTTCTCATTTTAAACTAAAAACAGTGCCTTTCTCAACATTCAACTCCATTGACGTGGCTCTGTTGATACTTCCCATTGGTCCCTCAAACTGGCGCCCCGTCCAGCTGTGAGGCCGAGGGATTCAGTGACACGGTTGGTTGACCCTCATTTTAAAGATGAAAGCACTGCTTGGCACACAGCATGAACAAGTGTCCTGTGACAGATCTGAGTTCTGTTCTGCTGATTTATTCCCCGGGGGATCTAAGTCTCTTGGGCTCAGTTTACCTAATCTATACTGTATTACCAGCACCTGACAGCTACATTAGAAACATCTATAAAATGCTTGTCACAAACTAGGGATTCATTATACATGTAAGTTTCTTTCCATTTTCTCTCATTCATAGGTCCTAGGTTTTGCTGATGTCATCAGAGAACCAGTATTCAAATTCTGGGCTCCAGACCTCTGGTCCTGGGTTCTTTTCTCTACCTGTCCTGTCTTTATCACTCTTTGTCTTTTAGGAGCCACAGGGTCTCTGGGGACTGAGGGCATCAATCTAACCTTCATCTCTATGATGGAAAATAGATAATCTACCCACTTTCCCCTGGCAAGTTCCAAACTTTAGGACATCTTCAGTTTGGCATCAAACCATGGCTATAGGGAGAGGTGGAAATGAGTTTCCTTGCATTCATTCTCACTATCTCTGAGGAAAGGCTTATGATGTCCTTGACTACATGACTTAGGCCTGGGAAGAAGAGAGGGAAGAGGGAGGGAAGGAAGAAAATAGTAAGAAGAGAGAAAGAGATGTGTAGAAACAGATGAGTATGGATTATACACACACACACACACACACACACACACAGAACATATGGCACATCTGTCTCTTATCTATACTAGCTCCATGATCTAGCTCTTCCGGACATTCCAGTTTTATTCACTGAACCGCAGTCACCTGATCTGAAGATTATGCACTGACATGCTGGTTACAAATAGGCCAAACTCACAGAAATAGCTACATGGGAAGCATTTACTGGGAGTGTGGAGAACAGGCTGAATGTTCTCACTAGGTGGCCCCTGGAAGTTCACTTCCTTTCTTGAATTCTTAATTTCCTCATCTGTGGAGCACAATATTAGTATCTTAGGTAAGCTGAGTCCCTAGGACCTTTCAATTTCATTTTCTTAAAAGTCGGTGCTCAAAGCTGGTTATGGTCAGAACTACCACAAATTGCTTGGATGGATGCATGCATGAATGGATGGACGGTGACAGATAAATTAATTAATTCCATCCCATTTCTTGGGTGATCTCCTGCAATTCAAATAAAATATTCTGAGACAGTTGTTGTCCAGAGAGCTGATGGCAGCTTCTTGGTGGAGATACTTTTGATAGTTTCCTTTTTCTTTGTTTTTGCTTCAACTAGTGATTTTCCAAAGACAGTCCTAGCACTACACGAGTTGGAGTTCTCTTGTGAAAGGCAGGGACTCCCTGATCTCACTCTAGATCTGTGAAAGCATAGACCCTGGAGTGGGCTTGAGAATATACTTTTGTGACTACTGTGATTCTGATACACTACACATTTTAAAGACAACTGTGAATCCCTGGGTTTACCAATCATGGATGATGTGAAATCCTGGCTTGTGTTAATGGGAACTAGGGGAACACCTTTTCCCAGCAATTCACCCGTGAACCATTCACATCCTGTCTGCCCATTTTGCCAACACCTTGGGGGAGAACCACTCTGCTAATACAAGTATTTCAATGTCTAGAAAGAGCCAGCAGGGGGCATTGGATGCTCACATATCCCATACCTGCCTTTCCTCCACCTGCTCCTAAAATCCTTATTAATTTTTCTTTTAAAAGTGGGAAAAACCAACTTTCAACACTGCTTTTCCTTAGGAAACAAAAACCGAAAACAAAACAGGTGCTCCTGGACAAAAATGAAATTTCTTGTCCATTTGACTGAAATAGCCAATATATATCTTTATCAAGGTTTTTATTGTATACGGTGCCTTAGAGAGAAGGACCACTTTCTAAATAGGGCTATCTTCTTTAATTATTTAATTAGTGGAGGGAGAGAGGCTCCTGAGTTTATTTTATGGAAAAACATGGCACTGTTCTCTGTAAATCAGCCTCACAGAAAGTATTGGTATTAACGGGTTGTCCAAGTTTGCATCTATGTCTGTCTTTTCCAGGAATATTTTTTTTGATAGACTGTTTTTAGCATACAAAAATGTATGGAAAAATTATAAGATACAGAGAAGCGAAAAAAGACAGGGATAAAAATTAATATATATAAGGTGCCCATACCAAGGTTACCACTAAAAATATTTGATTATAGCCTGATCATTCACACACACATAGCACACACACACATGATATAGGCTATGTAGGTCTAAGCACATGGTTTTCTTGTCTGCTCTTGCATATAATAGCATCCTATAACATATCCATGTCGGTAAATATGCTTCAAAGTCATCTTTTTAATGGTTATATAGTATTCTCTCATATGGAAATGCCACCATATTTTCAAATAGTCTCATGGTAAAAAATTGCGAACAACTTAAAAATATCTAGAAATGTTCAAAATATCATCACGGCAAACAGCCTGTTGTGTAAATCATGTGCATCTTTCATTATATCAGTTCTGTTTTATTTTAATAGATACTTTCTGTGGTTTATAAGCATGCAGAGGCTGGGGTGCTGTGATTTGCTGTTAATATTTTTGGCAGAATATGATTCCAATGTGTATGGGCAGGCCTGGGCAGCTTTATCTCAATCAGCTCTCTTGGGGTTTTGATTTGTTTTTGTTTTTCTTCCTCCTCTGCTTATTTCTCTAGAATGTTGTTAATGAAACGTAATACCCACCTGTCAGTTTTTCTCTGCCTTAATGAATGTGGGGAGTGGGCAAAGGGAGAGGGGTACGGATCACGTGGTTTATAACCCACCAGCCAACACATCAGATTGGCAATTTCCTTTCCAGGCACCATCCCTTTGGAAGTGTCTAGAGTACCCCCAGGACTTTAAGTGCATTGTGGGAAGGGATGGGAGGTAGCAAGCTGGTGGAGGGAGGCATATTTGGAATCAAAGGCTCTAGTACAGTTTGGATGAATCTACCTTGAGAGGATGCAACCTTAGCAAATGACTGGGAAGGTTAATAAAGGCATTTTCTGTAAGAGGGATTAGAGCCAGGCCAGGTGCTTGTTTCTTATTTATATTCATACTTGCAGTCTTGATTTTGCTTTTATACACTTCTCACGGCAATTTGGGACATGCTGAAAGCTGGTTACATGCTCCAACATGCTCTGTTATGAACCTTTGAGTTCATTTGCAGATTGCGTCACTCCCTATGATTCTACACCTTCTTTGCACACTTCTTGTCTATTTTTCACTTTATTCTGTCTCCTTGTAGCCATCATTTCTAGCCACCTTTCATCGTTCCTCGCCAGCTTTCTAGGGACGTTCTATTGGACTTTCCCTGAAATAATAATGCTCCAAGATGAATAGTACATACTTTCACTCAAACTTTAATGGGATTCTAGTAAGTGCCCTGTACCAGGAACTAGGCTCTGAAAAGACATGCAAGAGAATCATAAAATGTGGTTTCTGATCGATTCATCCATTCAACACGTATTCTGGGGGGATCCCGTTATATAGAGCTTAGTTGAACGAGCGCTACTGAGGGGCCACAGCAATGACATTTACGCAGACTTTTACCCATTTTGCAGATGAAGGATCTGTGCTTCACCCCAGGCTAAACAGCTACAAAGTGAAGGGAGAGCCAGGGTTCCCCATCAGCCTGCCCCAGTTTCCAAAGCTTGTGGAAGTCACAGACTAGGCTGTACCCCGGGAGGAGCCGGAGGAAGAGGCCATCAGTGGGTAATGCCATTTTGAACAAGCCAGTAGTTTTATCGAAGGAAAAGCAGAGAAGAATGGAAGGAAGAGTAACAGACCCATGCTGACATCCCCACGGCTTTGGCGACTGAGGGCTCCTGACTCACCTGTGGCACTGTTGAATCGAGGCCATGACCTAGGGCAGAAAAGAGAACCATGGTCAGTGTCAGCGGCATGCGGGTCACACACCTTCCCCAGAGGAGTGGGCAGCCACCACAGGCATTTCCCAGATCAACCTATGAAATGGTTTCTTCCTGTTTATATTGTTCTGGATCTGAAACAACACCTCATTATAGAGAGTATGAAAAATAGGAAAATGTACGGAGAAGAAAATGCAACCACCCCAGGTAGCATTTTGGCAAATCTGCTCTACATATTTGTATGCGTGTATGACGGTGTGTGTGCATATGTCTAAATGGACAGATGTATAAAAATAGCATAAGAATGTATGGGCTGAAAAAAAAAAGAATGTATGGGCTGTTGATGTTAAAAATGCATTATATATCTTTAGCTGTTATTCAAAGACATGACATCTATTGGCTGTGATTTTTTTTTAAAAAGATTTTATTTGACATAGAGATAGCACAAGCAGGGGGAGGAGCAGAGGAAGAGGGAGCAGTAGACTCCCCACCAAGCAGGGAGCCCTATGCAGGGCTCCATCCCAGGACCTAGGATCAAAACCTCAGCTGAAGGCAGATGCTTAACTGACTGAGCCACCCAGGCACCCTTACTGGCTGTGATTTTTAAAGGGTTCATTTGGGTTCTTGCTAGTTTTTATTATTGCAAGTAATGTTGCAGGGTGGATCCATGCTTGCGTTTTTCATCTAATCCTCGAATCTTCCCGTGGAGAGACTCTGCCAAGTGCAGTGAGGAGGGTCAGGCAATGGGGGTCTTCCAAGCCCCTCACAGTAGATCACTCAGTTGCCCACCAGGTGGGTTGGGTCAGTTTAGATGCTAAGTCACAGAGCGGTCAGTGACCATTGCTGGATCTCGCCACCCTCAAATCCATCCTTTAAAACAATTTTGCCTACGTGGTGCTCGATTTCTTATTTTACCTGTTTCATTTCCCTGATGCCTAGTGAGACCGAATTTTTATTATTATTTTCCAAGTGGCCTAAAACCACTATCTATTGTGAGTTGTCTGTATGTGTGTTTGTCTATTTTTTAGTAGGCCTTTTGCCTGGCCACCACATTCACATTGGCAGGGTGCTTTAGGAAATGCCTTTTGCCTAGATTTTGGGCAAAGATCTGCAAAGCTCTGGGGCAAAGGCAGGCTCTGGAGGATGCTGCTTCTGTGAGCCAACTTGTTTGTGCCTTTAATAATCCTGGGCCTCGTACGGCGCCTATCCTCCGAGGCTCTCAAAGTACGTCACAGGAGCAATTAATTGAGCATCGCAACACACACCGGGGGTAAATATTTATGAGGCCTGCCTGGTGGCTGGGACCTCGGGCACTGAATAGTTAAGTTGGGATACATGAGTAACCAGGAGACCACGGCCCAGGAGTCTGGCTTCCCGCTTACCCTTTGTCCTCTGTTTGCCATTTTAATACTCAGGGAGGCCCTGTGGGGTGGCTGTCGCTGTCCCAAGTTTATAGACAAGGAAATGGGAGGTTCAGAGCGTCCTTCAACTTGCCTGGTCCCACAGAGAGTGAGGGATCTGACAGCCTGAGAGTGAGGGTCAGATCTCCAAATCCTGGCCGCCTCCCTGGCCCTCGCCCACAGGCGGTGGTGAGTCCAGAGGCAGTGTGCAGCTGCGGTCTCGGAGCCCTTGTGGTTAGCTCTTGGCTTCCTTTCAAGCTGCCTGAGATTCGGCAGAAATTATCAGTAAATCAGCCAGTAAGGAGCAGGTCATTTATCTGGGGCCTGAGAGCTCTCTCTTGACGCTTTCAACACATGGCCTCTTCCCTGACATCCTCGTCTTTGACTAAGGCCTCAAAAGGCTCCCCAGGCCTGCCACTGGTGATACGTGAAATGCAAATGGTGTTTTCGTGACTGTGTACGGTAAGCTTGCTGTGAGCGTGGCAAGCCAGGCCCTGTACTTGGGGACAGCACATCCGGGGCAGGCGACCTGCAAGCCCAAGCCCAGGGATGAGGCAGAGGATGCCCACTCTCCTCGGGGATCCTGGCAAGAACTTTGGCTCTTATGTTAGGATTCTGTCCTCCTTCTGACCTTGGCTTCACCTGGGTTTTAGAATCAAAGACAGTTAATGCTAAAAAAAAAACAAAAAAATAACAAAAACACATCGGAGACAACGTCGTCCAGTTTATTGTTGCAAGTTTCAGCCTGGGGTCTTGTGAGACCTGTGAAGAGTGGAGCCTGTGCAGCACGGAGAGGCTCTGCTCCGGCGGGTGGGCTTTCCCCACTTCGCAGGTGCGGCTCAAGTTCAGGAGAGGTAAGTGACCTGCCTCAAGTGGCCCAGCATGCGATGGGCAGAGCCGGGAATTGTCTGGCTACCCTCATTATTTCCAAGCCTGCCTCAGCAACGTAGACCGCCCAGCTCTCTCTGCCTGGGAGCTTCCTCCCCATCGTCCAGGCTATCTGGAAGTGGCTTCTCTGAGCCACTCTGCCCCTAGATGGGGTCCCAGAGCGATGGAGCTCATTCATATGTCATACCCTCCGGGATTCTGCACCCCGGGGCTCTCTGTGCGTCAGTGCAAGCCGAATGAGTTAGCAGAGGAAGCGTCAGCAGGGCTGGGAGCAGCGTTGTTATTCCAGCTGAGCCCACAAAGGGGGGGGGGCAGAACCTGCTCTGAGGGCCCGGGAAGGAGGGGGCCCCGGAGGAGACCTGGACTCCACGGTTGTGTCTGGTTGGAGTTCAGGCCAGCAGCTGACAAGCTCCCCGAAAAGGCTCCTGTGCTGATGCTCTTTGCAGCCTGACAGCCCGGGGTGATTAGCAAAAGAGGCTGCTAGCAAACTTCGTGGAGATCTGCTGTGTTCTTGTTGCTCCAGCAAGCCCCACGTGCTAGTTAGCAAGCTGCCTCTTGCCAAGGAATGACGAGGATGCACCCTGGCTCCTTCGCGTCGTCGACAGCATCCATAACACGGCCACATGCGAAGGGGCCAGGGCTGGATGGTGTGACAGCTCGGCAGCCCCGCCCCCCTGCTGTTCCCACCCCTGCTCCTTCCAGCTCTGGGCCTGAGGGCAGCAGGCCTGCCTCTATGTCTCTGGCTTACGCAGGCAGGTGTCCACGTCGTGGTGGGGGGAGTTCGTGGAATATGAAATGAATGAGCCTGATCTCCAGCGGTTTGTGGATTTCAATATTTAAGGCTTATTACAAATAAAGATTTTTAATTTCTGAATATTTTTAATTTTTAATACTTCTCAATAATTTAATACGCTTAATAATTTTTAATCCTGAAAGGGCACTAAATTAAACCCATCTTCCCTCTCCCCCTTGCTGCCTGGGAGAACTGGATCTGATTGGGTAGGCAGGATGCACTTGCGTCTTACTTATCCATGGGAACAAAGTTTGGATGGTGTGTTTTTCCTGTCCCATAGAGACGACGTTTGGTCCCATCTCCAGGGTCAAGCTCCCGGTGGGTGTGGAGACTAATTCCTCATCGCCCCCTAGAGTGTGACGCGTGTGGTCCTCCCCTGGGCCTCCCCAGGTACCACTGCTGGAGCAGAATGTGCAGCAGAGCCCCTTGGGAGATGGTCAGGGTGATTTCACCGGCTAGCCCACTCCCTGTCCCAAACCTCCAAGACTAACTGGCTCGGCACCACATCTCCCCTTAAGTACTGCTTCTGACGTTAAGAGAGCGCTTTAGACTAAAATTCTAATTTTTGTCAGACAATTGATAAGAGTTGCTAACCTCATTTTTAATATAATCTAGAGGGAAATGAGAGTGACTTTGAACTTTTAAATTCATTGCCTTTTCCCCTCTGTTTGGATGCCCATGCCGTACCGGTTAAGTGTGAGCCTTATACAAATCATATCAGCAAATCTCCTGGCAACTCTCGATGGACAAGAATCTCTATATCAGTGTTAGGGCCAATTACCAGGAACTGGCCCTTTCCTTTGGTGGCTGGGTTGACCGAGGCCTGGGTTAACCCCCGAGGGGAATTGGTGGTGCCAGGTTCACATGCAGCCAGTCTGCAGGAGGGGAGCACCCTGCCTTCCTCTCTAGCACTGGAGGGATGTGCAGATTGGCATTAGGGAGCTGCAGGGGCCGAGGTATGGAAAGGCTTAGTGTGCTCTGCTCAGAGTGAGGAACCAGCAGGGTTGAGCTAGAGGGCCTGCCTAGTCCTGGAGGCTTGTGGAGCTCGGTTAAAGCACTGGTTCAAGCATGCTGAGAGCTGCATCTCCAGAAGGCCATGCGGGTGTCCCTAGAGTCTACTGGCGAGGGAAGGGTTCAGGCATAAGTCCCAGCAAGAGGTAGTGGCACTTATCCAGTGGAACTCCATTCCCCTGAGCAGATCACAGTATACCTCAGGTTCTCAAACTTCTTCCACCAGGCCCCCAGCCCCTAAATGGGAGACCAGGCACCTAATTACAGAACGTGGCCTGTGAGCCTTCTGCCTCTGAGCACTGTGGTGCTGCTTGCTCTCCTAATGCACTAGGAGAGTCAAAAGGCAGCGTGGAGTTAGGAATTCCTTATTTAAAGATTTTATTTATTTATTCATGAGAGACACACACAGAGGCAGAGACACAGGCAGAAGGAGAAACAGGCTCTATGCAGGGAGTCTGACATGGGACTCGATCCCGGGTCTCCAGGATCATGCCCTGGGCCGAAGGCAGGTCCTAAACTGCTGAGCCATCCAGGGATCCCAGGAATTCCTTATTTAAATCTCACTGTTAAACCCTGTTTTTTCTTTCCTCAACTAAGTTTAAGTTCACTGAGGACAGGATGCATGTGATGTGAGCTCTGATCCTCTTCATCTGTGTCCCTGACAAATGCTGAAGGATGAAAATAACAATATCTGGCATTTGGATGGGCTACACTGCAGGGGAGCAGCATGGCAGCGCGGGGTGGCCTGCGTGCCCAGGTTAGCTCTGGCGCCCCTCCAGCAGGTGAACGGCTCCCGAGTCTACAGCTTCCATTCTCCCCGACTTGTCCTGTCTTCTCTCTGCGTCCCTCCATCCTTTCCTTCTGGTGAAAGTACCTTCTATCACCTATTTAGATATCTAGTATGTGCCAGGCACTGGGCGTACAGTCCAAGCCAACAGCCTCCTGGTGGGTCCTTCTCATTCTTCTTCCTCCCGACTCTTTAGCGATGCTTCCTGTGCATCTAATCTGGGGAGCTCCTTGTGGGGGGGCCCCAGGAAAGGGATGAGGCACCCTCTTAGAAAGCCCTTTGGGCCCTCTGTAAAGCCCCTGGCTGGCCACATCTTTCAGAAAGATACTCCCCGGTCTGCACAGTGAGGCAGGCCAGAGGGAGCAGTGTTCTTAAGGATCAGTCAGTGCCATCTGTGGATGCCCAGGGCCCCTGGAGGGGGTGGGGTGAGACCAGAGAGGTCAAGAGCAACAAGGCCCTGGGACCCCGCCACCCCGTGTGTCTCCTGGGCAGACAGCTGTCTGCTGGGAGGGCCGGGCAGGGGGCTGCCTAGCGCAGCAACAAGGCTGCTGCGTCTGAAGGAATTACAGCCACCTGCACCTTGTCTCCTCCAATGACCCCCCCCCTCCTCGGGAACTAACTATTGCTGTGGGCATTAGTGGCAAAAGAGAAGAAATGGATAGTGAATGAGGTGAGGGTAGGGAGTGTCCGAGTGCGGGACATGTGAGCAACAGTAACTACAGCGCTGTCGTCAGGAATGGGAACGGAGACTCCACTCGGAGTGGAAAGCATGGCTGGGAACCTTGTGGGCAAGCCCTTAGCCACCCCCGGGGTCCCCTGAGGGCCTGCGTCTTTTCTCACACTGCATGAGGCACAGTGTCTTGTGACCTGGAGTACCAGTTTTGCTCTGCACACCCCCACTCTGCCCCCACCCCCCCGCCCTAGACTGAGCCTCTTGAGGGCAAGGGCTGTTGTCTCATCTGAATTTCCCGGTCTCCAGCACGCTGACCTCTCCCACCTTCCTCCTACCCTCTGGGCCCCTGTCTTGCATCTTCTTCCTTCCCGTCTCCTGGAGGTAGTAGGTAGGGGCAGAGGAAGTGCTGGGCCTAGCGGCCTCCTACTCCAGCTCCGAAGCTTGCATTCTCAGTAAGGATGCTGAAGTGGAGGTTCTCAGGCTTGAATGGGCACCAGAATCACTGGGGGGCGGGGGGGGGGCTTGTTTATACACAGGTGCCCAGGCTCCCACTCCTGAGTTTCTGATTCAGTAGGTCAGGGCCTGAGAATCTGCATTTCTCCGAAGCTCCCAGGTGGCACTGATGGATGGGGCCACCGTCCAGGAGGTGCCGCTGTGAGGCTGTGCGATGGCCCTGGACCTTCTTCTCGGGAGCGCAATGCCCACACACCCATTCTTCATAGCAGAGTCTCTACGGGAGCAGACTGGAGACTTGCAGGAACAGAAAACGAAATCCACAGGATCATGCCGACACAGCAGAAAGTGGTGGTCACTTGGAGCCCAGAAACGGTCCTCAATTTGACGTTACACTCTGAATCCCAATCCAGTTGTCACCAGTGACTAGCTCTGTGACTGACCACAAATGTAACCTCTCTCAGACTCTCTTTTCTCGTCTAGAAAATGGGATTTATAATAACTACTTCAGAGCAGTATTGTGAGGATTAAATGCCAAAATTCCTTTCGTGGTGGCTGGTGCATGTCCAGGCACTTACCTATGGATTTGAGTTTGGACTTGATTGGAAAACGTGGTATGTTTCCATTTTCTGCACTTAGGGATGCACCACAGGTGTGGATATTGGGGATTCAGCTCAATGAATTCCATGGGGAGTTTGGGGATGCGTTCGTTGATACGTAGTGTGGACAGGTCGTGGTTAATGGATGTGGTTCTGTGTTTTTCTTGGATCATCATCTGGACCGTATCAGCAGCATCTCCGTGAGCATCGTTTGTGGCCTGGAGGTGCATGCATGTTGGAGTGTAGCGGGGAGGTTGGCTGGGGCCAGCCCCCTGCACCTGTCAGGGGAGCTGATGCCTCACCTAAGGGCTGGCTGTATTGAGGGCAAAAGTATGGAGAGCCAGGGCTGCTTTAGATCCCAGTAACAATATGGAAGTCTACGGTTGACCATACCACCCAGCTCATCAGCCTCAGGGAAGGTACTGATGCTCTGCATTCCTTCTTCTCTCCTAAGAAAGGGAGACTAATGAGCCTGGGATTGTGGGGATCCAGGGAGACACCAGCTATTAAACTCTTAAAGCAGCACCCAGCACATGGTGGCCACTCAGTGACCATTAGCCACTGTTATTTATTGTGGACCTGCTACGTTCCCGGAGTGCTACAGGGGTCTCCCATTTATTCATTTTCCACACACGGAAGCTGCTTTTCGTACAGGGATCAGTGGGGCACAAGGCAGTCTGCTCACTCGCTTTCAAATACCATTTCTAAAGTATATGAGGCGCTGAGATGGGAAATGGGCTTGTCAGAGTGAGGTCACTCCATGAGTGAGCAGGTGGGATGACACTGAGACCCGGTGCCCACTGGCAGGTTCTGTGCGCAGCACCACCTGCCCATAGCACCCTCCCTCGGTCTTGACTACCAAGTGCTGATAATTGTAATTTGTACAGAGAATGAATTCATTGGTTTAATAGTTCTTGAAGTAAGACAGTAGACCCAAAATGTAGTTTTCAGACATTTTGATTTGATTTATAGATCTCAATACTAATTTATACTCATATAATACTTTCATTATAAAATACGCAGTGGTACAAAGATTTGTATGCATATGGGATTTTTTTTTTAAATTTGGGTTTATAAATGGTTTGGAACAGGTTGCAGAAACATCGTCTGTTGCTCTTTTTAATATATCTTGAGCATGCTATGACACATCCTGAAATAATTTGCTGCGGAAAAAAGCACTGCTCTTTCTCTCTTTCTCTCTCTCTTTTTCAAATGTAGCTGTAAATATTACTGTGATGTATGTGATTGCTGCGACCATCTTCATTTGAAGGAAGGCTTCTCACCCTTCCAGCTCCCATCTCTTACTATTGTCAGGAAATAAGAAAAACTGACTTAAAATGCATTATTCAAATGTATTTAATGTAAACATTGAACAAGTCTGAGAACAGCCACAAATTTTCCTTTGCTTAATATGGTTTTGACAATATTTCAGATATTCTGTTTTACAAGCATTCATTTAGTCTTCTTAGGGAAAATAGTTCTTCGAGTAAATCTTAGGACGCTAAGAATGCCCTGGTGCCTGGCACGTAGTGGGAACTGAATGGGTGTTTGGCGTTTGAGAGTGTGTTGGGATCCAAGGAATAGGATAACATGCTGAGACCCTTGCGTGCCTCTGAGCAGATAGACTGGTCCAGCAGGGTTTGCTGAGGGAGCTCTGGTGGGATGCAGGGGGACCTCCAACCCCCTCTGGGTATCAGGATGTTGCCCAGGGTCTGGCTGCTGGGCAATGGTAGACCTGGAGTGGGCTTCAGGATTGGAATCCCCATTCCAATTGGCTTTTAGAGTTGGCTCTGAGCCCCTCGGAGGTGGGACTTTGTCTTTCATCTCTGCATATTACCTAGCCTGTGCAAGTCCTAAGGCCATGACTGCTTAGTAAATGTTTGCTCAGCTGAACGACAAAGGGAAGAAACCACATAGGCACATGGCTCCCTCTATCCTCACTTGTGAGACCGGGTGGTGGACTCATGGCCTGATGCATCCGTGACCTATCATTTAAATTGTTCACCAGCTGAAAATGGAAGCTTCCCTTTTAGTGGCTGTCTCTTGGGCTGTTTGGACACCTGGTGGGTGGTGGAAGTAGCCCTGGGTCTGAAATGCTGTGGATGCCTCGGGGCTTCTCAAACTTTACCTGCATCACACATATGATGGCACTTTAACTCATATGCATTTCTTTTCCTTCTGAACCTTGGTCTCTAAGACCACTGGCAGCAATAAAATTTTATCACACTAACATGTTGTGTGTGTGCGTGTGTGTGTGTGTGTGTGTGTGTGTGTGTGTGTTGGTCAGCTTATTTGCCATAGACTCAAAAATTTCACTCCTCTATTAATAAACAAGTAAATATTCTGACCTATTTTTTGGCAGACAGAGGTTCTGGAATTTCATATCACTGGATCCTTCTTTTGTTGTCCTTCTATTGCCCCTGGGATGAAAGAAAATAGATTACAGTCAGGAAATAGCAAGAAGCTTGGGGGAAAAATTAATTAAGTGCATTCATTCATAGAAACAACCACCCAGTCAGATTTAAGTAATGAACATCTCACACATAATTCCAAATCTCTGCATTTCCATTGGGGTTAAAAAAAATCTGTGTTTAAAAGTAATTTAATTACTTTAAAAAATATATTTTTAAATGTAAGAGCTTTATTTTACAAGGGGCGGTAGTGTGGGGTGGAAGAAGCACCCCGGTCAAGATCAAAACGTGGGCGGCCATCCCACATCGCAGGCTTACCACGGCACACTCTCTAAGCCGTGTCTCTGTGACATTGCTCTAGAAGACGAGGAGCATCATACCTTCACACATGGCTGATGGGGGGCTGTCAAAGAAGGAAAGTGCCTGTGGGCCAAGGAATGTTCTAGATGCTTCCTATGTTAGTTTCATTTGACCCCGGGCTAGCCTACCTCATCCAGTGTAGGAAGGCAGATTGCTTAGCAATAGCAATTCAGATTCAAATAATATTTATTGGAATTCCATATAACTTGGATACTTTGCTATGGCATTTTCTGTGAAAAGATTAAATTATTTTAAATTGAGTTAATCTGTTCAAATTCAGTAAAGCCTTCGCTATCGTAAACCATTACTATTATGCATTCCTCATTCGTTTAATTAGCCACATTAAATATATTTCCGTTTCTTTTGCAGGTATTTTGTGAACTTTAGCAGATGTTTATTGATAACACTTTCCCCTCTAAATGCTCCTTGATAGCTATCTCGTTAGCTCTGACCCCCTTGTACTCCTGGCTCCCTCCATGTGGAGCAAACTTGCTTCTTCTTTGTTCTTGGTTTTTGTTTTGTTTTGTTTTGCTTGTTTTGTTTTTACTGCTCCCAGCAGGCCTCTTTCAGATACTGTTTTTTGTCTCCCTTCTCCTGCACTCCTGCTTCTGAGCTCAGAGAAGGTGCCAGGTCCTCAGAGGAACCTTCCCCGCACTCTGAGATTGGCTGCTTCATAGCACTTGTCTGAGTTGTAAGCTTCCTTTTGTCTTAACTCATAGCTTGTGATCATGTCTGCTAAGCCAGCTCAACTACCATGCTGGTGAGGGCAGAGATGTGCAGGGCGGTGTGTCTGTGGGGCTGGGGTCCGTGTCTGGCCCATAGTGAGCCCTCTGTGGACACGCCTGTGTGCTCAGGAATCAGGGACTCTGGGAAATACCTATCAGTGATTGGAGACTGTCCATCTAGGATTTTGTGTACAGCCTACAGGCTGTGATGTGATAAATAAAAAATTTAGTGAGGGGTGCCTGGGTGGCTCAGTCAGTTAAGCGTCCAATTCTTGATTTCAGCTCAGGTCATGATCTCAGAGTTGTGGGATCCAGTCCTGTGTTGGGCTCCATGCTGGGTATGGAGCCTGCCTGAGATGTTTTCTCTCTTTCTCCCTCTACTTTTCTCTCCCTCTTCCTTTGCCCCTCCTCTCTCTCCCCCTTTCTTTCTCTCAAATAAACAAAAAATCTTAAAAACAAACAAACAAACAAACAAAAAAAAAAAACTTAGTGTGGGGTGCCTGGGTGACTCAGTCAATTAAGTGTCTGATTCTTGACTTTGGCTCAGGTCATGATCTCGGGGTTCTGGGATTGAGCCTCCGATCGGACTCCTGCTCAATGAGGAGTTTGCTTCTCCCTCTCACTCCATCTCTCCACTGCTTATGCTTTCTGTCTCTTACAAGCCAGGGGAGAGGTGGAGGGAGGATGTGGAGGTGGAGGGAGAAGGAGAAGCAGACTCCCTGCTGAGCAGGGAGCCTGATACAGAACTCGATCCCAGGACCCCGGGATCATGCCCTGAGCTAAAGCCAGATGCTCACAGGGGACCTGAGAGCAGAGGGGGTTTCACTAGAGTGACCAGGCTGGTTGCAGGCCAGATCTCTGATCCCTTGACAGGTGCATGTCAGACGTAGTACAGGGAAAGGGGAGCCAGATATTGCCAGAAGCTCAAGGCCAGGCCCTTCTGAAAACCAGTGAGGAACAGAGAGAAAATGAGGGTGGGGTGGGGGAATGACAGGGGGTTAGGGAGGGAGGAGCTTCTCCTCCCACAATGGATGATGTAAAGAAAATGTTAAGGAAGCTTGTAAATCAATAGCCATTTACTTGGACAGTAAGTAGTTAAAGTCTATTTACTTTTAAATTTCATGGGAAAAAGTAGAGATTAGAAATCAGAGGTTCCCAGATCGTTCCCTACTCCCTTCCAGTTGTTTGGCTTTGAATTTTGTTTGCTAATCTCAGGGAAAACTAAAATATCCAGGTCCGCAATTTTACTCCCTACCGGGTTTCTCTATTTTAAATCATTCTTTAGGGTTCTAGTTTTCAGAAACACTTTTTATTTTATTTTATTTATTTATTTTTTTAATTTGCAGCCAATTGATTTTTTTTAATTTTTATTTATTTATAATAGTCACACACACACACACACACACACACACACACACACACACAGGCAGAGACACAGGCAGAGGGAGAAGCAGGCTCCATGCACCGGGAGCCCTACGTGGGATTCGATCCCGGGTCTCCAGGATCGCGCCCTGGGCCAAAGGCAGGCGCCAAACTGCTGCGCCACCCAGGGATCCCTAGAAACACTTTTTTTAAAAAATGTACAGTGTTGAAAGAATCATCAAGCTTTGGTCTATCACAGAAAATGTTATTAAGGATGTTAACCATCACAGGTCAGGATTATTTGCTTTGCATTAAATTGAGATCTGACCTTGGAAGGTTCAGTGTTCCCCAGTTGGCCATTGCCTCTATGAGCCTGGGGTTACCAGTTCTGTTTACTACAGCAGTGTAAGTAGTTACGCATCATTTTACAAGGCCTCAAGCATTTGGGACCAGCTGTCCTTCCTGTGGGCCACTCAGCCTGTCCCACCCACATCGTAAAATGAATCACATCAGCATTTTAAACTGCTGCTCTAGTACTTGTCATTGATCCTGGTCAAGTGCCCAGTAGGGAAGCAACACAAATTAATTTATTGCTCAGAGAACTCAGCACATCCTGGAAAAGTGAGAAGTGCCGCTGGTTTGTGGGGAAACTGAGGCACAGAGAGTTGTGGGGAAACTGAGCCAGTGGGTGAGCCAATTAATTGTTCTTCCAAACATCTCACGTCCTGCTGAAACAGAGCAAGAGGACATCACCTCACACCAGCCAACCTCTCTTTCTGATTAATCCTCCCAGCACTTGAGGTTCAACCCTTTGTGGCCATTTGATTTTCTTCTCTTGTGTACCTCGCTCCTGCATGGTCAGTTAACAAAACCCATCTGGTCTCCCTTCACATGCTCGTTTTCTTGTTCCCTCTTTTTAACTTTTTTTTTTTTTAAATATACCTTTTGTGATTCCTGTTGCTTTTTGGGTAGACCTAATCTACTTGGTAGTTTAGAACTGGTGGACTAGTTCCATGGTGGAATCAATACATACCTGCTATAGTGGGTTGAAGGCTGTCTACCAAGAGATACGTGTGTCTGGGATCTGTGAATGTGACTACATTTGGAAAAAAGTTTCTTTGAGAATGTAATCCTGCTAAGGATCTTGAGAGGAGCTCATCCTGGATTAGGGTGGTCCCTAAAGCCAATGATAGGCCTTCTCGAGAAGAGAGAAGAGATCATGGAAGAAGGCTTTGTGAAGACCCGTGTGAAGATGGAGGCAGAGACTGGCGCCATGTGGTCATTGTTGGGCTGGCGAGACTGGGGACCTCAAAAGTGCCGACCCCAGGCCAGCAACCTCCCAATAAAGCAGCCTTGCCACCCTACCCTAACTTAGCTTACAAAGACCTGTAACCCTTGCCCTAACTGGAATGCTGCCCTGCCCCCATCTTCCCACCCAAAAACTCTTTATAGACCCCCCTGCAGTTTGCCTGGGCACAACTTCCCCAGCCCATGACTTCCCCACTCTCTCCCTCCCCTGTGGGCTGTGGAACCTCGCCGAGAGCGTGTCCCATTAAAAGCCTGTTTCGACCAACTTTTGCCTGGCCTCTCTATTCCATTTCACTACTGGTCAGATTAAACTTGACAGCCATGGAGCCACCCAAAGCTGGAAGGGTTGGGTGAGGAAGGATTCTTCTCTAGAGTCTTCAGATGGACACAGCTCCGCTGACACCCTGATTTTAGACTTCTGGGCTCCAGAACTGTGGGGGGATAAATTTATGTTGTTTTAAGCCACCTATTTAGGTAATTTGTGATGGTAGTCCTAGGAAACTAATACATGAACATCTAACCTGTTCCAAAGGACAGAAAATAAATTTGACCCAAATCCAAATCAAGGCAAAACAATAGGTGCAATGATAAAACAAACAAATAACAACAAACACCCCATGTATGATATAGAAGGAAAAAATGAGGACAAAACTAGTTAAATCTTTAAGCGAGGAGGTAGTCGGGGGCTGTTTCCCCAAAGTGATGAACAAGGACCTATAAGTATTTGCCAGAGAGATGACCGAGTGAGCTAAGAGGTGGAGAGGAAGATGGGACAATCTATTTTGAGAGCTAAAGACACCCACTTAAATCTGTCCCGGTCATTCCCCTCCAATTTCTCACCTCCTGTACTCTCAGCTACACTCAATGTGGCTGGTACAGGCTGACCACCACAGAAAGAGTACTACCATTTCTTCTGCTGTGAAACTATACTTCTCTTTGTGAACTTTCAGATCAAGTTCAGCTTTTTCAGGAGCTTCCCATTCAGTACACTCACGGGGATCTTGCAGACTCCCTTAGAAATCATACATATTGCTTTTAAGCCATAATTCTCCTCCAATGCCTAGTGCAGGTGGGTTGTTAACTCCAAGATCATGAATGGTAATAATGTATAACACTATAAAATGATAATAATGACAACTCAAGACTTACATGAGATTTACAGCTTTATTGGCTATTGTTTGGCATTTCACACATATTAATCCATTTGAATCCTCACAGCACCCTGTGAGACCTGTCCCATGCTATCCCTAGCTCTTTTGGATTTCTTCATCTTATGTTCAACTCATTCTATCTCCTCAGGAATTGATGCATGTTGGGCTCCTGAGGAAACAGACCCTGGAATGTGCAGGAAGTGCATTAGGGTGAGCTCCTGGGATCAGCTTCCAAAGAAGAAAAGAAAAGGAGCAAGATTAGCAGAGGAAGAATGTGGACTATGCTCTGAGGCTGTCATGATGGCCCTTCCCTGCTGTCCTGAGCTGTGGTGGGAGGGCTGGTGTTTTGTGCCCCTGGGCGGACCAGTCAGTGGATGCGGGCTGTCCCAGGTAAGGCAAATCCAGCCTAGGCAATTCTGAAAGAAGTTTGAGGGGGAATGTAGGTGGAGACTCACAAAATCTAGTACAAAATACACTGGATTCTGACTCTTTAGTGAGTCTGAGTTCTCAAAGTCAAAATGGGCCTTGGCTATATTTTTTAGTAGGAGAGAAGGGAAATTGGAAGGAAGTCCTCTGGGAAGGAGACTATCAGGTCAGAGAGGTGCTAGTTTCCATAAAGGTAATGTGATGTGGACACAGAGTTAAGAGCACACACTTGAGGGTGTCTGCGGTTGGCTCAGTTAAGTATCCAACTCTTGATTTTGGCTCAGGTCATGATCTCGGGATCCTGGAATTGCGTCCCACATTGGGCTCCATGCTTAGCCAGGAATCTGCTTGAAGATTCTCTCCCTCTCCCTCTGCCTCCCCCCACCCCCCTAAAATAAATAAGTCTTAAAAAAAAAAAAGAGCACACACTTGTATTTGATCTGGATTTGAATCTGCCAACTAACTGAGTCACTGATTTCTCTCTTCATCCCCATTTTACACACAAGGAAGGACAGAGTTTAAGTACCTCCCTCATCTATTGACTGTATGTTAATTGTCATGTTTCTTATTTAGGACCTGATTCTTACTTGGAATGACCTAAGATTACCAGAGATAGACATCTAGTAGCATTGAGAAGGGCAGCTGATAATTAAAATATTTCACCCAGGCCAAAAAGGTAGGTTATTTGATTAAAGAGTTACAAAGTCCTGGCATTATATATTACCTAATTTTTTTGACTGTAGGTTTCTTTTTTTTTTTTTTGTTTTCTGATTTTTCTTTTGAGAACAGCTGTCATTGTGATTATTAATTCATATAGTTGAGGATACCAATATAGATCTCTCCTTAACTTCAGGAGAGTGAGAAACATCAGCCAAAAAAGTGGAGACCTACTGCTGATAGGGATTTTACAAGAGGTAAAATAAAGCTATTCAATAATTTTGGTCTTTTTCCCAGCCATTTGTTTTGGGTGCTTGGAGGTACTGGGTGGTCATCCATGAGGATCCAATCTAATCTAAATGCAGCAATTGCTTCCTTGGCAGCAAGTTAATTGCCCAGTATTTTCCCAGGTAAATAGAATATTGGATTCCAACATGTCCTTTTTTTTTTTAAAGCAGGAAATTCAACTTCATTATCTAATTCAATACTTCATTGGCATTAGAGGTTATATCATTGGCCTTAACTCTAGAATTTTCATGCTGTGTCTGGTGAATGGCTTTGAATGCTCCAGTGAAGTTCTGCACAGCATATAGTTTAAGAGCAAGTCATGTCTGTCTGTATGATATGATCTCTTTGGCTAAGTCAATTTCTGCTACTCCATCTCTAGCTATAAGACATTTGTTCCTCATGAGGACTTTGAAAATATTGACACCATAATCTACTGCTTTCCCTATATTGTCATCAGATTGGCTGTAGAACGTCAAAAAAAAAATGTCAAGAAATAGCATTGTGTTTGTTTGTTTTTTCCTCCACCTCTGACAGATGAACATCATACAATGGTATGGGTCTTCAGCAACTGAAGAGTTGATCTAGAAAGGGTGGTGGCACCAGCTGTTTTATAGGGTCTCCTGGGATCCCAGTTTGGGTCTAGCCCAACTAACATGACCTCATATTCATTTGCACATTTAAATCTGGATTTGAATTTGGTTCTGCCAACTGACTGAGTCACTGGTTTATCTCATAATCCCCATTTTACACATAAGAAAGGGCAGAGTTATAGTACTTCCCTCATATATCGACTGCATGTTCAAGAGCCATGACCCTCACCAGGCTATGTGTTACTCTTAATTTAGTACCAACGTCACCATGGACTTTAACTTGTGTGTCCATGAGATTTCTTTCTCTTTTACACAATCCATGAAATTTTTCTACTCCCTTATAAAGTCTGTGGGATTTTTTAATACTATCACAAACTTAGCAGCTCAATCAACACATGCTTATTATCCCATGACTTTTGTGGATCAGGAATGTAGGCATGGCTTTGCCGAGTCCTTTGTTTTAGGGTCTTTTTTGAGGCTTCAGTCAAGGTGTCAGCCAGGGTTGGAAAGCTCCATTGCTCCTAAGTACATGGGATTGTTGACACGAGTCAGTTTCTTATGGCTTGTTGGACTGAGGGCCTCAGGTCCTTCGTGTCTGTTGGCTGGAGGCTGCCTTCAGTTCCTTGCCACATGGACCTCTCTAACTTGCTACTTGCTTCATCAAAGCATGCCAATCAAGAAGACGAGAGGAAGTTGTAATCTTAGGTAACATAATCACAGAAATGACAACCCATTTCCTTGTTCACACTCCAGGGGAGAGGATTATGCAGAGAGGAACATGAGTGCCAGGATATAGATAATGGAGGGGGGTGGATTTTAGTGTCTCTCTGCCACACATATTGTCTACTCAGTGTGGAGGCATGAGTACGGATGACACTTTAGTAACATCTAGAAGAGTTTTTTTGTGAACCTAAAAACCAAATCAGCTCAAATCTTTCTG